GGGGAGGTGGGGGCTCCGGGCCCTGGGCTGGGGTTTGCACCTGTGCCTGGGTGTGCATGGGCTAGCCCTGCTTTCCTTCCCCGGCAGGCAGTTGCCTCACACTGTGCTGACTGAGGGTTAAGTGCTTCCCGTACAGAAAACCCAGCCTCCTCTGAGCCACTTCGGCTGAGCACTGTAACCACAGCCTGAAGCCTCTACTTCCTGCTTGGATGTGCTGCAACGGCCACCTGGGTCCTTGCCATGAGACAGGGGCCAGAGTCCTATCTGTCCTGCAGCAGGAGTAGGAGCAAGCTGGACACCCATAGGCGAAAGCTGGACTTCCCTGCAGAGTCCTAGGCGGGGGGAGAGACTGTGACGCCACTAAATGCTGGCCTGGGCCTCTGCTGCTGAGCTGAGCTGCCAGCCTGGGCACAGAGCCCTTGCAGAGGGCAGGTTTCACTTAGAAGCAAGAGACTCCAGTGGTCCCTTCTGCTCCAGGAACTTTCTGGGGTAGCACAAGCTGGAAAATGTGGGGTCCCCCTGTGTTTGGGGTGCCGCAGCCTGGAGCCCCCCACTGCACAAACCACGCATTCACTCCCAACCCTAAAACAAATGTTTAGCCGGATGCAGTAGGTCAATATTTGCTGAAAGGAAAAAAATCCTCAAATAAGGGGGTGGTACTGATGGCCATGCCTATCACCAGGCAGGGCAGATGTGGGCTGGACCAGGGGCTGCATTTGCCCCTGCAGAGCTCCTGGCTGAGCTAGAGCGAGGGTCTGGCAGCGAGGCGGACGTCGAGGAACCCGAGGTACGGAGTCCCTGGGCTGGGGGGATTGAGCAGCAAGCTGGGGGGCTTCTCCAGTGAAGAGGACCCCTGCGTGTTTGGGAGACTGGCTCAGGGAGGGGAAGTTTGGCCAGGGGCTGGAGGGATACACGGGGTTGCATGGGCAGGGGAACCTGTCAGATGTGGGGGGCTGAAGTGGCGTCTAGCTCTTCCCCCTCCACCTGTCAGCCCCCCTGTGCACAGCTGCAGCCCAGCGTTGCTGCCTGGGCCAGCGAGGGCCCAGAAAGCGGAAGCCAACACGCAGGAACTTGGCTGTGTTGCGGGGGGCGATGTGGGCGCCGTACCCGGTATGGGGAGCCATTGCAAGCACAGAGGAGGAAAACTGCCCCAGGGCCAGGATGAGTAACTGGGGCCAAGCTCAGGTAGAGGCAAGGGGGTAAAGGGGTGGGCCGTGCCAGCGGCACTGGCGGGCCCCCAGGGGACAGGAACAGAGCGTGGGAGGGGAGAGGCTGTGCTTTCCAGTAAGGGGACAGCGTGCAGCGAGTGCAGGGAAGGGGAGGGCCCTGCCCTGCCTGTCGGCAAAGCCCCAGGGCTCTCTGCAGCCCCGGGGAGGCAGGTCGGTGCTGCCGTGCCAAAGGAGGCTGCAGAGGGGAGATGGCCCAGGCAGGGGCAGGGGCAGGGCTGCCTGGGTTCCCTTTTCTCCCACCATCGGAGAGCCCTGTTCCCTACCCCAGTGCAGTGCAGTGTACATGGGGTTGAAGGAGGCTCCTCATCTCTCCCTTTGCTCTGGGGGGCAGATTTCATTTGGGAGCATTTGGAGGCTGTAGATTCCCGTCCAGCCAGGCTGGGGTGAGAGGGGCTGGCAACAGGGGCCACGGGGAGACGGTCCAGCAGTGCCCCCCGGGCTCCAGTGCTGCCTCAGGGCCTGCTCCCCTTGCCTGCTGCTGCCGCCCAGGGTGGCCTTCCTAGCAGCTTGTCTGTAGCCCCCGCTTCTCCCCCTGGCTCCTGAGTTCGATCCCCACCCCTGGGCTAATCGCTTCCTGCTGTTTGCAGAAGGGAACCGGGCAGGCTCTGCTCGCAGTTGACAGGCGGTAGGGGGGCCTGGGAGTGCCTTCGCATACCTCTGCTGCCTCTGGCATCCTGGAAGGATGGCGGTGCTGCTCTGGGGTCTGCTGCTGCTCTGCCTGTCTGCTCTGCACCACCGCCCATGGGTAAGTTGCTGCCCTTCTCCTGTCCTGCCAGGCACCTCCTCTGCCTGTGCTGGGGCAGTGCAAGGGACGGGGCGCGCAGTCTCCAGTGGGCTCGGGACAGGGTCCACTCTCCACGCGCAGCCAGCAGTGAAAGGCTCTGAAGAAGAAACCCCAGAAAGGACAGTGATGGAGCCACACTTCTGTCTGGCCCATTTGGACGGGTGCTGGCTCATGTGCTGAGAGGGAGGGTGTCTAGTCCTCCTTCCCTCTCCTCCGTTCTGTGAAGCCGCAGGCGTTCCTGGTACCCGGTGATGTCTCGTGGCCACGACCACCAGGGGTTAGTGGGGCACTGTGTAAATAAAGTTCCTTTTACCCATTTTAAATCTGCCACCCAGTTGTGTATTGGGACTGCAAGTGTATGGGAGCACCTGAGTCGCATTTGGACCTGGCCACGGTTTTGTACCCCTCCAACCTAAACGGGCTCAGTCTTGCAGTCTCCTTCCATGGGGCTCTCTGCAGGCCTGAACATTTTCATCACCCATCTGCAGACCCTTCTGCTGCTGCTGTTTGCTGGAAAGACCCATCCATGCTCCAGCAAGCTATGGGGGGCCATGAGGGCAGGGGGGCGGTGGAGAAAAGAGGAAAGAGCAGCCTCTGACCCAGCCTGGGAAAAGGGGCTGCACTAGATGACCTTGTGAGGTCTCTTCCAGACCAACTTCCCTATGATCTTAAGGGATGTGGCAGGAAGTGGGCCAGAGGGTGTGTGTTTCGCCCAAATCCAGGCCCCTTCCCTTTCCCTTCAGCTTTGCCTCTGGGTTTTCTCTTTCAGTGCCCTTTGGCATATGCCCTGGAGATGGATTTTACCCCTTCACTTCACCAGGACAGCTCTCAGGTAAGACAGGACTGGCTCCCAAATGAGTGAACTGAGGTTATTGCAGGGTATTTCCAAATCTCCCCCAGCTCATCTTAGTGTAGGGTGGGCCCTGCCAGTGGCACCTGCACACACCTGTGGGAAACAGCAGGTCCAGCTACATACAGCCCTCTCTGCCCACTGTCCCAGAGCTGCTCAGGCTGAGATGCTCCAAGGTGTCTCTGGGAGCCAGGTGTCCAGATCCCACTGACTAATGGGATTTGGACATCTCGCTTCTCGTGCTGTTTGAAAAAAAGAGCCTAAAGCAAGTGGGCAGGAGGTGGCACCTGTGATGGAAGCTGGTGTGTGAAGGGACTGGCTGGTGAACTAAGTCCCCAGTCACAGCCCAGCAGGAGAGGGTGGGGAGAATTACCCGCTGTAGGCAAGGGCAGGAAAGGCCTGTATCCAAGGCCACCCCCTTGCTCTGACCCTGCTCCTGATCCTGCAGTTGCTGGGTGCCAGGCTGAGCTCTTGCAGGGCATTCAGCGAGAACGCTGCTGTTCTGCAAGGAGAATCCTAGCGTGTGCAGAGGGACCACTCCCACAGGAAAGGCTAAGCATACGCATTCAGTGCTGGACAGATGGAGGCCTCGGTCATTTAGGTGAGCAGTTGCAAGCACCACTGCTTGGCGACTGGCTTGCATGGGCATGGTAGTTGCACAGAACCCAGGTTCCCCTTTGTCCATGATGCTCAGGGCAGAGGAGCAATGCTGAGAGTACATGAGGATTCAAGAAGCAGTCTTGGCCGAGAGACTGATCTCTGCAAGGAGGTCCCAGGACTTCCTCTTTCACCTCCTGCTGTTCTGAAGGGAAAGTCTGTCGTGCACAGCTAGCAAGGGCAGACTCACTCCACAAAGTGAGCAGGGCTGCGGAAGCAGAGAGCCGAAAGAATACAGACATTCGGAGACGCAGCTGCAGACTGCCGTGGCTGCAGACCAGGCTGCTGGCACAGCACGGAAAGGAGAGTCAAGGAGGAGCTCTAACAGGAGCTGTGACATCAGTTCGAACAAATCCACACAAGTTTAAGATCTGAACTGGGTGCTGAGCTGAATGGAGAACTAGCTGAGAGGGGCTGGGGAAGCGATGATGTGACTGCATCTGTGAGTGGCGGGGAGCAGTATTCTGCACACGCCAGAACCAGGATGCGGGGATAGGAGAGAAAGGGGTCGAAGCAGAATAGACAAGGTGATGGGGGATAGACGCTGGGGGGAATATTTCTGCAGAGAGGGGGTGAGCCTGTGACACCAGCAGGGATGGCTGCCATCCTAAGAGGCGTGGAAGAGAGGTGAGTTTGTGTCTGAGGAGACTAGGACTGCAAAGCAGTGGAGGCACAGGGGAGGCTTATGTGAAGAAAGGGGACTGGGCCCAGAAGACTCGTCCTGTCCAGGAGAAGCATGTTTGCCGGAGACATTTAACTGAAGGAAGCTGAGACGCAGCCACGTGTTCACTTGGCTGTGAGACACCCTGAGCGTGGGCAGGGAGGAGCTAGTGTATGTGCTGGATGTCTCTGCTTCTCCTAGACTTTCTTTGGAATAAGCTATGTCCTGTTTTTGCAAGCCTGAACCAAGGCATCTGAAATAGCTGCTTTATCCCTGCAGGGCATAGTGGTAGACCCTGCACCACGCACACTGCCCAGAGAAGGGCCCCTCTGCGTGACCCAGGACCTGACAGTTAGCAGGGCAGAGGCAGGGCGGGCCAGGGCCAGGCTGTGTGTATCAGGTAGACAGTGCAGGTGCCACCCAAGGCGATGTCTACATGCCGTAGTCGGTAGGTGCGGGGACTGAGAAGGGGCTGGATGCAGGTTCCTAATTCCACGTCACCTCAGAGGCAGCACCGGTTTCACCAGACGGTCCCTCTGCTCTTCCCTGTAGCCCGTATCACAGCTGACCTCTCAGGTGGCTGCTCCAGCTCCTGCCCTCTCTTACATTTAGCAACAGAGGCAGGAGCCTGAGCCTGCTAACCACATGCCACAGCTTCCCCACCACCACACGCTGGGACCATTTGCCTCCCAGCCAGGTCAAGCTGCTTGCTAGGTCCTTGAAAGCATCAGAGTCCCCAGCTCCATTCTGCTTCCTCTCAATGCAATTCCCCTGTTCCTTCCCAGGGGCACGAAGCGACTGGAACCTCAGGGCAGGACCTGCAGCCCACTGTCACCAGCGTTACTTTGCCTGCAGCTGTGTCAACCCTGCCGAACGCTGTAGTGTCAGACTCTACCAGTGACACCTGGGAGGACATTCATGGACCCACATTACCACCCACACCCACACCCACTACTACTACCACTACCACCACAGTGTGTAGAGACAAATTCATGAGCCCAGAGGGCGAGCCTGTGACTGGGACAGTGGGAAGTCACGAACAAGTGCTGGAAGGACAAGAAGTGGATTCCTCTGAAGAGGAGGAAGAAAGAAACTGCAACATATCTCAGGAAAGGATGAGGAAGCTAGCAGATGGCTTGATGAAATTCACCGCTGATCTCCTGCAAGAGGTCGAGCGGGAGAACAGCCAACCCAACATGGTCCTCTCTCCCCTCAGCATCACCCTGGCGCTGTCCCACCTGGCACTAGGTAATGCCTTCATTTTAAACAGCTGAGCTCTCATGCTCCACGGTGCTCCTTCTCAAAGCAGCACTGGTAGTCAGCATCCAAAAATGCAGATGTTCAGCACAGCATCCTCTGCCCAAAAGCTTGATCCTGTGGCTTGCTTTAACCAGGACACATGGGCTGCCCTCACTTGAAGCTGGTCTCGGTGTCCCATGCTGAGTGCCACCAATGCTTCTTGGGAGGACACAAGCCATCCAGTCACAAAGGGGCATCCATCCCTTCCAGACAGCACTGTGAACTGGAACCTGACCTTGCTTTTCAGGAGCAGAAAACCAGACAGAGAAGCATCTGCTGGAGGCAATGCACCTGAAGTCAGTGCCCTGCCTCCACCACACACTAAGCAGCATCCGCAGAGTGCTCACAGAGTCCCTGCTCAGCGTGGCTTCCCAGTTGTATCTTCAGAAAGGTGAGAGCAGGGAAAAGCACCTTTATGCTGGGGGGTCTGTGACACTTGCACGTACACACAGGCATGCCGATGGCAAAGGGAGACGCGTCTGCTTCCTGAAGCAGTCCTCGGGGACGCCCTTCCTGTCTGCTGAGGGAGCCAGGCTGCATCTGCTCTGGCTGATTTTGCTGAGTGAGTTTCATCAGGGCCTGGTGACCTCATGTCCAGTTCTTCTCCCACAGGACTTGAGGTTAAAGAGAAATTTCTGGAGAACTCGGAGAGATTCTATGGAGCGAAGCCTGTGACCCTGTCTGGAAACAAGGAGGATGATCTCATAGCCATAAACAAATGGGTACAGGAGGTGACAAAGGGGCATATCTCCTCCTTCCTGTCTCAGCTCCCCGATAGCATGGTGATGCTCTTGCTCAACGCTGTCTACTTCCGAGGTGTGTGCTAGCATGCTCCCCAGGCCTCTCCCTCCCAGAGAAGAGCTATGGCTCCACTGGCTGTCTCCAGACGCAGCAGTTTTGTGGGACCAAGTGGCTCTTCTTTCATTTCTTTCCCACTTGGCTAGATGTCTCTTCCTCCCCCTGCATGTTTGCAGCTCCCCTTGCTCAGTCAGATCACTACAGTGAAGACTCCTGTCTTCCTCCCCTCGCTCAGAATTAGATGAATACGAACACCAGAGGCGGGGTGTGCATATGCCAGCAGGTGCCAACCAGGATTCTTGCGTGTGACTTCTGCTGAGGCCTGGCCAGGTGCACCCAGATCCTCCCTAAATCCCTGCAGGCTGGATGTACCTTGCTGCTAGGGGCATTCTTCAGCTCGCACAGAAACCCACTGCCACTCCTGCGGACACGGTGCTTGCGTCACTGCCACTGGCCTCTCTCCTCTACCCGTGTTGCTAGTTGCTACTTCAGGTTTCTGCCTCTTCCTTGATAGCTAACTTGAGCTTGCCCATCACGCAAGGGGAGTCCCTCATATGAGCATGCAGCTTGGACCTCAGGCTCTTTGTTTTCAGAGAACTCCACAGACATTCACTGCTTCATCTCGCAGCGTGCAGCTTCCTCCCCAAGCGGAGGCAGGGCAGGGCTGATCAGGCCCGGTCTCACCCCTCTACTCCACGCTGTCTCTCCTGAAGATAAGGACACCCTGCTGTCATGGTTCTCTCTGCCCTGGCAGGGTTTATATTGTCCCTGCACAGCAATGCCCACAGACCTGAGCACTGACGGCAGGGTGAAAGGAGCGTAGGCAGGCACCTCTCTTGGTTTTCCATTCTAGCCTGGCTTTGCTGATTTCTACACGTGTTTCTGGACAGGATTTTGGAGGAACAAGTTTGATGCCAGCCTGACAGGTCCAGATATGTTCCACCTTAATGATGAGTTCATGGTCCCTGTGGAGATGATGAAAGCCCCGAAATACTCCCTGAGTTGGTTTACACTGGACTCTCTGGAAATGCAGGTGAGCATCTGTCGGGGGTGCGGCAAAGCTGCTGTACCAATGCCCCACTGTCACTGCCATTCTTCTGCTGCATCCACTCGCTCTGAGAAGACAGCACCTGCTCACAGGTGTAGGACACCTTCTTTGAGCCCGTCCTCAGAAAGGATGTAAAATCTATCCTTTCCAAGCTACCGGGGAAATACCCCATGGGCACATACTAGATGGGACCTAATGAGGCTTGTGCATCTGCAGGTCTGGGAGGACCAGGGAGACTGAATCCCCTGAAGGGAACTGGGAGCAGGAGGATCCCTGTGGAGCAGGGCCACTGCAAGTGTAAGAACATAAGAACCTATTGAGGATAAGATGGAGGTGCTCAGGGCCTTCGCTTGCTTGTTTCCTGTTCTACCACTTCTTTGGCTTGGCTTGTTTCCAGGTGGCCAGGTTTCCCTTTAAGGGCAACATGAGTTTTGTAGCCATTGTCCCAAACCAGTTTGGGTGGAATGTCTCGGAGGTGCTGGAGAACGTCAGCCATGACAAGCTTCATGGCCGCTTTCCCAAAGAGAAGCCCACCCTGGTGAAGATGCCCAAAATGCACGTAGATTACAAGCTGGAGCTCAACGAAGTCCTCAGCCGACTAGGTAAGGTCAAGCCCGCTTACCATCTGTGCACCAAAACTCAAAACCACCATCCCTATGTCAGTCCCCACCACCAAACTTGCTCCAGGCAGCCTCGAGGACTTTCATTTCTGCATTCCTCTGCCCGTTAGCAACTGCCTTTACCTTAGTCTCCAACAAGGTGCAGCTGCAGTTGGTGCAAAAATGTAGCTCTCCTTTTTTGCACCAACTGTGCAAGTCCTGACATCCGTTAGTCTCCTGATCTCCCCACTCTTATTTCCCATCAGACTTTCAGCCTCATCAAAGACCAACACTTTCCCTTGCTTACTTTGTACCTTTTTTAACTCGGTGGTTGGGATGTATGAACTGCCAAGACGATGTAGATCACAAAGGCCAAGACAGTGTGTGAAAGCAGGGCAGTGTGTGCTCTTTGTTGAAGGGATCTGGGCGTGGAATGAACTTCCAGATGAGATTAAAAACAGAAGCTGAATATCTTTATGAAATACTGGGAAACCTTCCTGTTTGGAAAAACACTTCCAGCATAGCCAGAACGAGATTTGCGGTATGCGTCCTCATTCTACCCAAGCGGCCAGTTTAAAAACAAGCAACACCTACCAACAAACAAACAAATACTCCAAGCAGAGCTTTTTCCCCTCAAAAAAGAGGAGTGGCAGCAACTCCATGAAGTCCATCTGGAACTTTTAGAATTGCTACTGATTTCATTGGAAAAATGCTCAGGTACTAAGGTGTAGGCAAGAGCATTAAATCCTCCAGAGGATGGCTAGATAGTCTGCATGAAAACTGTTTGTTTGCCTCTCCCACCAGGGAGGGACTGGTGAATCTGGCTAGAGATTTCTGTTTGCTTTCTCTGCCTGCCTGCTCTCTTCTCTGGAATCTGCTATGATTCACCAGCCAGAGCCTAGCGTTGTGTAACTCCGCAGTAACCGTTTGGTCAGGCTGCTGCTTCCTCTTCCACTCCAGGGATAAAGGGAATGTCTGAGCTAATGGCATGCCACGACACGGCGCCGGACAGCAGACGGGTGCCTGTTTGACTCCAGTTCGGTTTCATTTCAGGCCTCAAGGAGTTATTTTCAGCCCCTGATCTACGGAAGATCACCAATGAGCCTCTCCTGGTGTCGAGCATCCAGCACCAGTCTACCTTGGAGCTGGCAGAGGAAGGGGTGGAGGCATCAGCTGCCACCAGCATTATGCTGTCACGGTCACTGTCCACTTTTAGCCTTGACCGACCCTTTCTCTTCATCATCTTTGAGGAGACAACGGGCATCCCCCTCTTTGTGGGCAAAATCCAGAACCCCAACCCCAGCGCTGCCCAGCAGAGGAAAGAGCCGGAAGACGTGTCTGATGTGAAATCTGGCCTCAAAGACTCCCCCCCCAAATAAGGGACTCCTGGGACTGCTGCCTCTTTGACCCTCTGTACTAGCCAAGGGAGGCCTCTCCTGCTGGGGCTTCCTCTAAGGGGCTTCTCTGCTCCGGTCCTCGGAGGCAGCCCCTCCCTGGTTTCTTATAGACCCCTCTAGCAGTCCCCTGTGCCAGCCCTGAGAAGCTCAGTCTGCTTAGATTCACTTTCCAGAGGCCTCAGCGCTGAAGGGAGGCTTCCTCCTGCCTGGACTCTCATCAGACACTGAGCCTTTGCCTCAGAGGACCACTTACTTCGCATCCCTGCGAGGAGGCCTCTCTGGGCCACCCTTACAGGGCTGACCCAGGGGACTTGCCTCTCCTTGCCTTACTTCTGCCCGAGTGCCTGCTGCTGCGTAGGCCTGCCCCTCGGCACTGCTCTCGAGCAGCAGCCCTGCTACCCGTGAGGTCTAGAATCCTTCTGACAACCTGGACAACAGAGAGGTCAAGGCTGCCTCTCCCCGAGCCCCCCACATCCTCCTCTCGGGGCAGTCAGTAACATCTGCACTTGCTCATCAGTCACAAGCGAGACAAACAGCAGCTACGTCAGATGGGTTAGCAGCAGTCTTCTCCCTGGGAGTGAGTCACAGCCACGTCCCCGCCTGAGGTTTCTTTAAGCAACCCTGCCCTGGCCCTGTCGGATGGGGCCTTGGTGTGGGAAGGCAAGCAGGCAGGTGACTTTCCTTCTGTCCTCGCCACCAGCCTTCTGTCTGAGAAAATGCTTGTCTCTGGGGGACTTGGGCCACACTGGATTTTTGAGGCATCTTTTGTAAAGTGTTTTTTAGTAATTTTATGTTAGCAGACTAATAAACATGTGAAGCAGAAGTTGTCTGGCTGAGGTGTCACCCTGAGAGACCCAGCAGGTAGAGGAAAGGGGAAGGGGAGGACAGCAAACAAGCAGAGGACTGAAAACTGAAGGAAGAAGAGGACTGGCTGGGCTTGACTAAGGGGGTAAGGTTATGAAGAGCGTATGAGAACCGGCTGGACCCTTTCCCTTACCCAGGACACAACATCAGAGCAACAGGCCATGGAATAAGGTTAATGGCCAGTAAGTACAGATGCGTCCTGCTCACCTGTGGGACACAGCTGCAGCACGTAGACAGTCTAGTGCTGTAGGTGGCCAGAGGGAGGGAGAGGCACCCCGATGCCAAAGGGGCCAGTCAGCATGAAACGAACACTGCAGAAGTCTGCAGCACACAGCTGACCAGGCGCGGTAGGGTGGGAATTAGTACTGGCTAGTGGCGGGTTACTGAATATAATGGGGCAAGGGGTATAATCTGGTGTGATACAGCCTATGTGCGATTTATCCACCATATAGGGTGCTTCTGGGCATGCAGAATGATGCTACATGCCCACGCTGCTTTTCAGGAGGAGGGTGTCTCTCCTCATACTGAATCACACTGCCTTGTGCCAGTCTGAGCACAGCCTACCCAGAACTTCACTTCTGTCTAAAGTTGGGGCGGCTCATTGGATCCCTACTCTGAAAAAGTTTACCATGTTGTTTGATGAACGCTGCAGCCTCAGATTCATGTTTTGGAGAAACAGCAATTGCTCCCAGAGCAGCTAAATCCAGATTACTTTAGCCTTGCTGCTCTGAGGGCTTCTTCAAACCCACTTACTGTTGTTCATGGTAGAGCCTGTGTCACATCTCATCCAGCTTTTAGGAAGAACTCCTGCCATTATCTTTTTGCACAATGGTAGCTACAAAGCCACAGTGCCACTTTCTCAACACTTCCCTGTTCACATAGTAACTATTCCCGAAGAGGCATGCCTCAGCCATAGTGCAAGAGGGGAATCTGCCTGAGGGAGTCTTCCTCACTGAATGTCCTGCAGTTTTGATCGTGTACAGGATGAAGCAGATGGATTCACCGACTATGAACTCTGGGGACATAGGGGAGTACATAAAAAGGCAGCTAGCCCAACCCTGCAATTACCAACAGACGCATGCATGTTTTATGCAGACTCCAAGTCTAAGGGGGGAAAACATCTAAGAATAATTCCTAGTCCTGTGACCCATGTGCTGGCCTTTACTCTTCAATAAGAGGGTGTAATTACCGGACTATGTAAGTAACAAGTAAAACCACAGGAATCCAAACCTCTTACTAGAGGGTCTAGCACCAGCCCACAGGGAACATTTCAGTTGAATTATGCCCTTCACTTAGAGGCACTTGTCCATGCTTAAGGTAGTTCCTGCCTTGGCTATAGCACCCTCCCGCTCTCCAGCCTCCTGGAGTCCCACCTTGCTGTACTCCAGACCAAGTTAAAGTCACTTCTTTCCCTTTCACACCTCTGCACTCCAGCACACTGTCTGTAGAACGCAAGCTCTTCTTCATCCTCAACACCCTGAGCAATGTGCTTTTCTTCCTTCCTACTTCCATTCACTTGGCCAAACTCTCTTGCTTTCCTCCTGTGCATCCTTCCCCCAATTATCTTCACACTGTTCCACAGAGCAGTGACCACCCCCTGCTCTGATTGTACCATATGCATTTAACAAACAATTGACTACATCGGTATAAACCATGAGATACTGCACAGGGCTTTGAGGGTCTCAAGAGGAGAGTGGAAAGTAATAATGATATCCAGGCTCAAGCCCTCTCACCTCAGGTCAATGATCCTGCACCATTTAGTACTGTGTTGGCCCGACTCCATGTTAGACAGCCAGGCCTCTGCTCTGTGCAGCAATCTCCCCAGAGGGTGAAGTGATTACAGAAATATTTCTTGCTAACTTCAGGACTGGAAATGTCATTGAACTTGCTCACCAAAGTAAGTTCATGAGCGATATACTGAATGTCCATGATAAAAAGCCTAACACTGCCTAAGCTGCATGGCCTGAGACCTTCAGTTGACTGCACGGTGGTTTCCATGGAGTTAGCGACATTGATTTAAAGTCCGGCCTTTCACTAAACTGCTGCAACTCTGTATGTAAATAAACCCTGATTAATTTATGCTCTGCCAAAATAAGCCTGGATTAAGCCACTAGAAGGATATATGCAGCTCTTAATCCAGGCTTAACTGAACTGGTTTAAAACCAAGAAGTATTGAACTGGTACCATTTTCTTGTACAGACTAAGCTTTAGGAAGAATTACCCCAGGGCCTGCCACAGAAAGTATTTCGGTACCAAATGCAAATACTGAAGAGAAGGAAACAATGACATGGGAAGAGGAATTTTACTTTTTAATGACCAACACTGCTCAGCCTCGTGTGTGCATAACGGGGGCAAAAAATACAAGGTCATCTCCACAGATCTCTACTCACAGTTTCCCAGAAGGCCACAGCCGCTCATCTCATCGCTGCTCAGCGAGGGGGTCGTCTCCCCTTTGGGTGTGACCGGGGAAGAAGCAGTGAACCACAAGAAGTGGGGAGTCATTGATTTGCTTTTCCAGATCAGAGCCCCCTGTTCTCTAAGTCACCTCTTCTTTCCATTAGTTGAGGGGCTGTAGGGAATACTGCATGTATACAAAAGCCAATGCTACACTTCTCACTGCCTGAGGAGCGAGGTCTGCAGCCCACCAGGGAGAAATTCCAGGGCAACCCCAGATTATGTGGCCTGGTACAGCTGCCTCCAATACCCTCCCAGCATTTCTCCCTGGCTGTGCAGAGTAACGCTGGTAAGATGCCTAGGGCAGTCCTGGCTGCCCCGTTCACTAAGCACATCAAGCTATTCTTGTTAGTTCTGTCCTCATCACTCCTGGATACAGCCCCTTAATGGCTTCAAACCAGTTCCTGGATGCTGATATTGATTCGCAAGCCTCTTGCTGAGTTAAAGCTGCTGCTCTATTAATGCTGCTGTAGCACATTCCAGATAGGGACCTCAAAGCTATTTACAAAAAGGCTCACACCCCTTACAAGATAGGGAAGGAAGATCTGAGGCACCAAGGGGGAAACTGCTTGCCCAAAGTCATTCAGGGAACTTATGCCAGAGCTGGGAGTAGCTGGTTCTCAGTCCAGAGCAAACAGGGGGCGTTTGCTTCAGAAGCTGGAGAAAGGGCAGGGTTAAAGCCAATAAAATCCAGTGACACAAGCACAAAATCAAAAACAAGAGCAGACCACTTTAAGAGAGTCCTGGGAAGCTGTAACCTGAAGCTCGCTGAAGGCTGGGCTGGGGCAGTCTGCTGGGAGGCAGCGAAATAGCAGATGTGGCTGTTATAAACTGCACACTGCCCCACTTCTTTTTCTCTCCCACCAGGGTTGGTAACTTAGGACAGCACTGGCCCAGAGGAGCCCGAGGTAAGAAGCAATTGCCTGTAACCAGAAGCAAGGGGAGTATTCAGAAGGATGCGAAGGGCACAAGAACGGGGGGCGGAGGGTGGCGCCTCTCTTGCAGGGTCTGGGAAATGGGAGTGAGGGTCTGGGAAGTGACAAATTCTTGGAAGGAGGGACTCTTCACAGAGGGTCTGGGGCCAGCTGGCATCACAGGGCTCCTCTCAGAGGACTGGAGTGACAGAAGTCTGCTAGGGTCCTGAACAGTCTGAGATTCAACCATGGAGGGGCCAGAGTGTGGCACCACTTAGCGCCCATACTGCGGTTGAGAAGATGTTTCCTGGCAGCAGAAACCAAATCTAGCAGAAAGCTGATTGAGATGAGGTGGCTGCAAGGTGCTGCAGAAGTCAGACTTGCAGGGTGGGGTGACTGGGGGGTCCCAGGCAGAGTAAGGGGGACCTGATGAGTAGAATGGTGCAGGACACCCCAAAGCGTGATCTGCTGGGAAGGCTGGTGACTGCTGGCACCAAAAACTGGAAGAATGAGACTGTTTTACACCTGCAGGGATTCGGGAAAGGGATGATACTCAGCCTGAAAGCGTCTTCTCAGCTCGTTTCCCAGCAGTCCAAGTCCAACATCACACACCGCTTGCTCTTGCTCTTTCCCCTGCTTTTTAAAGCCAGCTATAGATTTTAAAGTCATGCTAGAACCCAGCCCACCCCACCCCAGACCTGCTCCAATGAGGCCCTTTTCTATCTGCAGCTTTGTCTGTGCGCTTCAGAAACGTGTAAATAGAATCCAGATGTTCAGGCCCATTCAAGCTCAGAGGCCGTGTCTTTCTAAAGTGGAAATCATTTCCTTGGCAAAGTCTAAGAAATGTGAAGCTGGTGTCGATCTTGGCAGAGCTGATAAAATCTGGAAATCCAATCTTCAATCTCAATCTTTCAAGAGCACGGCGTAGCTGGGAGCAGAGGGCATGTAGAGCCTTTTTCAAAGTGAGGCCATGGAAAACTCAACTCTCAGGACAAGCCCTGGCTAAATCTCTCGCTTTGGGCATAAATGAAGCATTGGGAAATCTACCTGGGGCAGCCACCCTCCAGCACACCTCTCTCCCCACTTGAATCACACGGGCAGGCCTCCTGCAAGATCCCCATGGTAGGATTACTTTAGTGTAGATGCAGCATGTGGGGTTCCCTCCTATCTCGGCTCCAGCACATCATCATTCCCTCACTTGGAAAACCTCACAGTAATAAGCAGTTCCTGCATCACATCATGGTATAGCTGCACTTGATGCCAATCTTCTGCACTAGAAAGACACTCTGAATGCCAGTCTGCTGGACAGAGGAGGATGGCAAGGTGGGTAGGCCTATGGATACAGACACCTATCATCTGTGAATCAGACCATGGGGCCAGCTTGGAGTTTACTCTGCATCGGTGGGAGCAGGGTTGAGTCCTCATATCTCTCTCAAGGAGAACTGCTACCATGGTGAGATGGATCTTGGGATGCAGAGGGTTGGAGGAGCTGCCTCACTCTTGGAGGGAAGTCCTCTGCCTGAACAGGCTGTTTTAAAGTCATGGTTGTGGTGGCCATGTGGCTTTAAGAGTGTGCATTTCTACCAACAGCCATATTTGCTTTATAGTTACACTTAATTTGAAACATATGTGCAGGCTCCTACTTTACTGGCTGCCTTGGATCACAGAGCTTAGTTAAATATAAACTCCCTTCCTTTAATTTCTGGGATTTTATATAAACATTGTTTCTGCTCAGGCACCACAGTGCCTGTTCAGAAGGGCAGAACAGCTCTGCAGTAATGCCCATTTGCCTAGGGTGAAAGTCTGCCCTTTGAACCAGACAGTAGTGTACAGAGCCTGCCTGGAATGACAGAGAAAAGGTTAAATCAGATTTCTGCAGAACAACAGGACTGCCAGCTCTGGGGAGCTTACTTTCCATGAGGAATCTTGAGCAAACCCTGTCTTTTCTCTGCTTTGCCCCATGCACTATATTGCACAGTTAGTGAGGAGTCGATGAGATTCTCTCCAAGGTCCTCCAATGCTGGTACTCGATGTAAGGTGCATAGGCAGGCTCTGCCATAATCTAAACATACACCTAAGTGGAGAGGAAGCAGGGAACTGAAATAAGGAATCTCTTCTCCATCCTGAATCTGTTTGCTGGTTTCTGGAAGTACTGAAGGCCTGCATTTGTAACATACACAGTGAATTCCTGGATACACATCTGACTTGGATACCAAACTCCAAGGTCCTGGTGGGCACCAAGTCCATGTGGTTTGGATAATAAACATGTAGAAGCTTGCTTTATGCACATGTGCACCCTAATCCCAGTCTACAACCACGTGCACTGGGCTCAGGAGAGGCTCAAAGCAGGTGTGGGTGACCTAGCTGAAGAAGCCAAAGGGTGAGGGTCTTTGGCTACACAGGAAAAGAAAACCCGGCTTATCAGGTGAATGCTTCAGCATAAGCCTTACTAGGCGCAGCAGAGAGCGGTGACAGAGCTGGGTGGGGCAAATTATTAGGCAGAATGAGTGGTGCTGAAGTGCTTGTTGTGCTCTCCTTCTAGGTTCTAGCATGCAGACTCCACTGGTTTTCCTGCTCCTGGGCCTCCTGGCCTCCCCTGGCAGCTCCCAGAACTCAGCCAACGAGCAGGTGAGTGGATCACACAATAGCATAAAGCTATGGGAGACACTGGGAGCATGCAAGTTTCCAAATTAAAACTCTTAATAGGAACATTAAGCACCAGCCTCTAGCTCTGCCAGGTGCAACCTTGGACTATATTTAGCAGTGAAGTGGGACAAGAATTCCTGCTCCGCCTAGGACAAAGACACAGTGGAATCTCCTGCAGTTAACATAAGGGGGAGGGAGAAGAGGGATGGACACGATTGCTGTTAGGTTTATTCCAAGCTCTGCCTAAAACTTACTGTGACATCCCCAAAGCCAAGTGCCCCCCCATCACCTGTCATCAGTCAGATGAGGCCAATAGTGCCCTAGCTGACAGAATAACATCCACAGAGAACTTGAAGGGCAAACCAGCCCTTTGACTATCATCCCTTCTCCTGCCCTGTTGAGCTGCAACTCTAAACAACAGCTTCTTGCCTCTGCCAGGACTCAGCGACTCCTGATGGGGGCAACGCAGGGGAAGCTGAAGAGGAAGATCCCTTCTACAAAACCCCAGTGAACAAACTGGCAGCTGCAGTCTCCAACTTTGGTTATGACCTGTATCGCCAGCAATCTGGCAGAACTGCTACTGCCAATGTGCTGCTGTCCCCATTCAGCGTGGCTACAGCACTTTCTGGTCTCTCCCTCGGTAAGTCCCTGGTCCCGCTCCTCCTTTTACATGCTTTTCAACTGGAGGGGCCTCATGCTGTTTTGCCTGTGGCCGGTAGGTGCTGGGCAGCGGACAGAGGACCTGATTTCTCGCACTCTCTACTACGACCTGCTTAACAAGGCTGAAGTCCACAACACCTACAAGGAACTGCTGACAAGCATCTCTGCTCCAGAGAAGGGCTTCAGAAGCGTCTTCCGCATTATCCTGGAGAGAAGTAAAATCCCCTCTTCACCTTTCTGTAAATTTGCCTGCCAGATTTAACCTTGCCTGTCTCTCTAAGCAACAGGCAGATGAACAGTGTCAAGGTAATGTTAGCAAGCGCTGATGACACTGGCTATGCCATGGAGCTGAGCAGGATACTGACAGTTGCTTCTGGCCAGTAATCACTGCACTGTACCTTTGAACGGCAGGACTCCCTAGATCTGTTTTTGGAAAGCATGCATTATCACCAGGGTATCTGGGAGATGCAGCCCAAAGACCCTGGGAAGAACTTGCTGTGCCAATTCCACTGGGTTGCTGCAGCTCACGGCAGATGCTCCTACCTATCCCAAGAACTGTTTTTGCTCAGACAATGCAATTATACCCCTTGTTTTAGGCTAATGGTCCTCTTGACTAAGGACTGGTCAGTCACATAGGAGTTATGCAGACAGCTGAAATGCCATTTTGAAGTTTGCACTAACCCCTCTGCCCCCAATTAGTTTGGCAGTTCCAAGGATCTGAGCTTCTTAGTACACTTAAGTCTGTGGGGAGGGCTAAAGATAGATACTGCTGTGTGGTAGGCTCTGTTCCTATCCCACATCTTTACTTGTTAGTTGAGGGCTTTGCCACACTGCACCACAGGACATGGCTGAAAGGAGTGGATCTCTCTCATGCAGCCTCTGTCCAGCTCTGTAAATGCTTGTACATTTGTGGCAAAGAAGCACACAGACCAGGGCTCACAGATCTGCAGTTATTTCGGGAGAGACCTTAGGTTGCTTGCTGCACCCTATCGCCAATGAGCTATTCTCCGATAGAGGAAGGAGCTGCTGTAATAATTATTCTGGCCCTCAGAGCTACGCATGAAGGTTGGGTTCCCAAGCCAGCTGGAGAAGGCCTACAGAATACGACTCAAGATCCTGACTGGCAACTCCCAGGCAGACCTCCAAGAGCTCAACAACTGGGTAAGGCAGCAGACCAAAGGGAAGATTTTAAGGTTCCTGAAGGACATGCCCACAGACGTCAGCATCTTCCTTGCTGGAGCAGCTTATTTCAAAGGCAAGATCTTACTGCATGGCATTAAAGGGTCTCTTTAGTGCATGCCAGTAGAGGGAAGGGTCTCATGCTGGACAGCACACCAAACAGCCAGAAAGACAGAGCAACAGAAAATGTCTCAGAACACAGGTCCACAAAGCAGAAGGGACACATGCTGGATGAACACAGGAGGAGATATTTCAGGGAAGGCATTCCTGTTCTCAGGAAACAGTCTGACCCACTTACAAGGGACCAGAAAAGGAGGAAAATGAAAGCTTGTCAGCAAAGCTGCTGCAGATTAAGAGAGGTAGTTAGCTGTGTAGGTCTGAAGTCAAGCAAAAGACAGGGTAGGATTTGCACCCTGTAGACTAACTAAATCAAACTTCTCGCCTAAAGAAAGCTTAGACAGGCAGGTGACAGCTGTGAAAATTTTGCCTGGCATGGTACAGATAAGGAATCAGATTTGTAGCTCACAAAATCAGAGTCCAGAGGCCTAGTCCAGTTCAGAGCTGAACTGAGCGACTCCCCAGGAGGGCAGTCCTTGTTCCAACTTACAGTCCAAGACAACAAGCAACACATGAAGGGTGTGGAGAGACACTCTCCCTATGCATGAATAATTGATACTACTTAAAATAGTTTTGTAATTACATAAGTCAAACATCTGCTCACCCCAGCTGCCCCTCCACCCATGTTGGCTGACTTCTTGCTTTCAATCTGGCCAAAGCTCAGATGGAAGGGAAGGGAAGGGAAGGGAAGAAGGGGCCGCAACAAGCCAAAGCTGAGACAGCCTGTGACTGGAACTGGCTGTTGATAGCCTCCATCACGCTCCAGTTTCTAAGGCAGAGCCTTGAAAGCAGGAGTCCTTTAATGCACGAAGCACTGAACCATTCCTATTAGCTGCATATGCAATAGGCCCCCATTCATTTACTTTATTTCCAAACTTCTCCGGCTTGTTTTTAAAACTAGGGCACTGGGCAACTAAATTTGACCCCAGGAAGACTACCCTGCAGGACTTCTACCTGGAAGAAGACAGAATCGTGACGGTGCCCATGATGTCAGACCCCAAGGCCATACTGCGATATGGCTTCGACTCAGAACTCAACTGCAAGGTCAGACAAAGACTGAAAGCAGCTCCAGTGCTAATGTGGGTAGAAGGTCTAAGGAAAACTCCATCTTCCCTCAATGCCCAGCCCCTTCTAGACAGTCAGAGCTCTGTCCCTCCCACCAGACTCTCCATAACTGCTATGCTCGTGACCCTGGTTTTAAAGTAGAGCAAGCAGCCTTGCATTTGCTCAGAGAGCTCCCCATCTGCAGTGACCACGTGACAAGCAGCTCAGCTGTACACAGACTACATAAGGAGGGCAGGGCAGGGCTGGCTTTTCTCAAGGTTTCTGGACTTAGTACTGCTTCTAGAAAGTGGAAAATCATCCGCTGTGCTCATGCTATGCCATGCATGGTACTCAAGAAAAGGGCTTCCAGCAGACAGCCTCTCACTTACTATGGAATAGCACTGTCCCCTTTCAGGGCACACAGACAGAGATTTAGGGTGGAGGCAAAAGCCTGAACTGCACAGCATGTGGTAGACCCTATTATGCAACAGCTCCGCAGGGCAGGAGGCAGATGTGTGTGGAGCAGCTGGGCAGTCAGATAAGGTACAGAGCTTGCAGCTGGCACTGGGGAAGTTCTGCTGCCAAACGCAGACATAACTCCTGGCCTTTTATAACTGCCCTTCCAGATTGCTCAGCTGCCACTGACGGGGGGTGTCAGTGCCATGTTCTTCCTGCCACTGAAGGTAACCCAGAACCTCACCCTGATTGAGGAAAGCCTCTCGTCTGAATTTGTCCATGACATAGACAAGGAGCTGAAGACCGTCCATGCTGTGCTAAGCGTGCCCAAGCTGAAGCTGAGCTTTGAGGAATCGCTGGGAAGCACGCTGCAGGAAATGAGTGCGTACACATTGCCCTCTGCAGGCAACTGGGGCTCAGAGCAGTGGGCAGCTCTGCTCCTGCTCACTGGCAACAAGGAGCAACTGGTTACCAGTTAGGCCTGTTGCTGTGCACATAGACTGCACCAGCACTTTTGAGCTCCTGCATGCATGGAGCCTCCCCTTCCCAATAGTTCCTTCCCTCTTCTCCCTTTATACAATTTCTTGAATAAGTGCATGGGGCCCTTGCCTCTCAGCTAGGCAAGGACCATTTCCCTTTCCCTTTCCCTCCAAAAGCTCCACCTGGGGCCTATCTTCCCCTTACTGAAGCACTGTACCTCCTCTTCCGCAAAGTGCAGTCTTCCAGCTAATGGACTCTTCTCTCCTTCCTTACAGGGCTGCAGCAGCTCTTTATATCACCTGACTTTAGCAAGATGTCTGCTAAACCCATTAAGCTCTCTCACGTACATCACAAGACGGTTCTGGAACTGAGTGAAGATGGTGCAAATTCCACGCCAAACCCTGGAGCGAATGCTGCTCGCCTGACCTTCCCCCTCGACTACCATCTGAACAGACCCTTCCTACTTGTGCTGCGAGATGACGCCACAGGAACCCTATTCTTTATTGGCAAAATCCTGGACCCCCGGAACATTTAGCTCCCCTGACAGTAGCCTGCAAGGAAGGTGGTAAATAGAAAGAAAGCTGGCTCCTCACTCATGTGCAGGGGCCAAGCTTGCAAATTGAATGCCTACATGCTGCAATAAAAGAGCTTCTGGCATTGATTCAAGAGCGCCAGTCTTTCCTTGAAGGGCAAGCTTGATCTTGTTTGCACTGGGCCCCTCCATAGCCATGGTCCCCAGAGTGTTATGTAAATGTGTGTCCTGTACTTTGAGCTGTGGTGCAGCACATACTGGATTCCCCCTGCATCATCTTATAGCATAACTCCAGTCCTTGTACTTAGTTCCTCCAGCACCATGTCTCCCCCTTCTCCCCCTCCCCTGGGTAAGCCCCACTGTTTTGACCCCAATTCTTGTGGCATTTAAGGTGACATTTCCCAACACGCTGCCTCCCTCATTTCAGCCTACAGTGAATCACGTTTCTGGGAATGAACGTGCCGAGCAGCAGGTGGTGTTGCTGTGGTTGAAAACACGTAATAGGGCATGTTGGCAGGGGATAACATTCAACCCACAGGGAAGAATCAACTTCAGGAAGTTGTACAATGGGATCTCAAGTGTTTGCCTCAAGAGAAAATTAGGAAATTATACAGCAGCATCCAAGACATCCCTTCCATCAATGCCGCATGGAGACCCTTTCCCCTTTCAGCCTTGTTCAACTTCATTCACTCTGGCTCTCACTTGAGGGCACTTCAGCATTCATCCAGCCTGTAGCCAGGCTCCATGTCCCCAGGTGGTGCTGCTTGGCTGCCTTACCACATGGAACTCAGCTCCCTGGTGAGAGCTCAGTAATGCAGCTCCCCTCATTATGGATTTTCAGTCCTGGGAAGGAGGTTTCTGGGCAGCTCCAGCAAACAGGCTTTCATCTCTTTCAGTTCCTGGACCTGGGCACTCCCAGAACCACAGTGCACAGATAAAACCTCCTCTGCTCTTTGAATTGTTCTCAGAGCTTCTGACACTGCAAACCTGAATTTGGAGAAGGAAGGAGAGCATGATACACTCAATTAAAATACTCACTCTGTCTCCTTCACCATTCCCCCCACCTCATCCTTAGGTCAGTCCAGATCAGAGACTTCTTCATGCTCTCTCTAGGACAAGCAACTAACTTGCCTGCTTGCAGGGGAAAGACCCAGTCTTACTCTTTCAAAGTCAGGTAAGTGACCTGTGCTCAGCTAGGGTGGGAGACTGTCCAGTCAGGTCTACTGTTGGGAGGGGCTCTGCCAGGAAAATAAAGGGAATGCTGCCTGGGTAATAAGAGGATGATAAGATGGAAAGAAACTGTAGTGCTATCACTTTAAAAGGTGTCAGCTGCAACAGCAAAGGGAACAAAAGAAGCCTGAAGGGAACCAAAAACTATATCTGGTGGTGATGGACCCCAGCAGCCCACTAAAGGAGTCTTGCATTTGATTGAGTCAGGGACAACTGTTCCTCCTCTGCCAGACTCTTGGAGTCCTGGAAGGCAGCCTGCAACTGAGCCAACCCTGTCAAGGACTACATGACCCATCACCATTTCAGATACGCACGGCAAGGACTGCATGACCCATCACCATTTCAGAAACATAAGGCACGTGAACTAGCACAAGGAACAGATGGGAAATTGGGCTCTCACCCATTGAAAAGGATCTGTGCCAGCTTAAAGAGCTCATGACCCATTTCCACACTGGATGAACCATGACATGCTTCCACAACCCGAATACTGCTCTGTAGGTGTCTGGCTGCTTCCTGCCACTTCCCTGTCAGGAAAAAAAGAATCACTGTAACTCCCTTTCTATTGCCCCTGCCAAAGACACAAAAGGACTTTACAAACCTTTAGCAGCTAGGCCTCATAGGATCATGATGTCCCCCTTCCCTCCACCTCCCAGGGAACATAAAAACTTCTGTTTACTAGGTCAGACCATAGGTCCATCTTTCCCAGTCTCCTGTGTCACACAGTGGCAGAGTTGATACTGAAAGGGAGAGTGAACAGGGTATAGCCAGGGTTTTTCCAGTGTTCCTCTCCCACTTGCAGCCTCCAACATGTAAAGAAGGGTTCTCGTCTTCCTTGTACAGGAGGGGGAAACAGAGGTGCTCAAAGTCACAGAGCCAGTCTCCAGCTGCTGGAAATTGAACTGTCAAGATTTGCAAAATACAGTAAGAGTAAAAGACAGGAGGAAAGAAAGGTAAATAGACTAATCAGGGAACTGTCTCCTCATCATGTCAAAATTCACAGGCCGCCCAAGCACATGCGAGTTCATGTGCACTCACACACACAACCCTGCACAAGATTGTAGATGAGAAGGGCACTGTACCAAGGCTGGCATAACCCCGAGCCAGATGATCCTCAATCTCTCCCATCAGCGTATGCTTCGGGGACAGGAAGTGCTCGGCATCCATCAGGCACATCAGCAGCAGCTCTACAGCTTCCTCTGTAAATTCAATGTATACAAGCACTTTAATGAGAGGTACAAATCCATCCTAGCTATGAGCTAGCACCTAGCCACACACTCCCCCTCACCTCCAGGCCTTGAGAAATTAGTCTTGGACTTTATACACTGGGCTTACAGAATTAGGTAAGAGTTCTATTTCAATCCACATGGAGCCCTTTTATCCTAATGCAAGGTCACCAGGGCCAGGACCCAGAAAGGAAAACAGGGTCTGGGATCCTGAGCTTTAAACATTTCCTCAAGCTCTCTTGCTGTACCAGATGGGTCATTTAGCCTACCACAGATCAGACTGTTCACAGTCTAGCACTTGTGCAGCCTCTACCCCACCCATGGGCTCTGGCTTCCTACCAGGAATACCCAACTGTGCAGGCAACACTGCCATCTGATGGCTGGGACCCATACTCCGGACCCTGGTCATCTCATGATGAGCACAAAGGCAGATGGGCCCACTCCTACCGAGCTTGTCGTCTTTGAGCAGTTCCAGTGCTCTCCTGACTCGCCCCTGAAGGTCCTGCAACCGCCCCGAAAGATGATCCCTGCTGACAGCAAGTGCACAGGCTCCACTGGAACACTGGAGCAGGTCTTCCCCCTGTGGAAGTCAGTCACTCAGTCAGTCAGTCAGTCAGTCACTTCTGCACACACACAGAGGATAAGCAGAATTTGCTCAGCTGCATAAGCATTATAGTCAGCAATGATCTGTTGCCTACTGCTTGCATTGTAACAAGGGTTACGTACATATATGAACCACTTAGCAGATCTAAAAAGGCTGCTATTAGAAGCTTTGAAATGGATGGCATACTTGCCATCCAAGGGCTTAGAATAGCAATCCTGAAACTTAGAAGTCTCAACAACGAGGGGAGCCAGTATCATGGCAGCTAATACCAGACCACTACCAGCACTCAGTACTTCAAGAGCACTGTTTACATTATATTGTGCTAAGTGTATCCGCAGGGTAAGCCCATAGCCTTTTCCAGTCTGGAGGCTGTGCACTGAAAGTGGAATATGCTACAATTTTAAGTTTTCTACCTCTGCACCCCTGAATTGCTTTACAAGGCCATTGCACTGCTTCCCAGCTGCACATTAAAACAAAAGCACCTGTCCCTTTGCAAGTGTCACATTCCCCAGACAACAGAAAGGAAGCTGTAGGCACAGCACCACCAAGGCTTCCAGACTGAGTCAATTTTGATCAAGGCAAAGTGAGGTGTTAGACACCCACCTAATCGCCAGATAATACAACCCTGCAGTGCTAATTCCTGCCTGACTCAACAGCTCCACCTTATTTTTCAGGTCACCTTTCCACAGGATATGCTATGCCTAATTTAGACAGTCTCTGTGTGAATCCCCTCTTCTTAGTTCTAGACCCTGGGAACATCTCAAGGATCAAGGATCTTGGCAAACATGCCCCCAGGAAATTCTGGAAGAGTCCAAGCCAGAATCTTTCAGAGGGGTTTCTTTGAGAACAATGAGAACCTCCTTAATTCTGCAGCACTACAGGCCACAGAAGCATGAGTCCTAGACTCAGACTCACACTTTCCACTGTTATTTTGCAGTCAGGATGTACCAAACTTAAGAGCTGCATAAGTTTTGATTCTTGAACAGTTACCTGCATTGAAGCTTGGCAGTGGGGACAGCAGAATGTGTCTGTTGTGGATGGTATGCAGGTGATATCAGACCCTAACTCCTCTCGGCAGGCCTGGCATTGACACACAAAGAAATACTGAGAAAGAAGTCGCTGCCGTCTCTCAGCAGCCCCCATTCTGCATCTGTGAGGCCCTGCAGAAGGAAATAAAAGTAGAGCGCATTATGTAAACCATGAAGCTAGGTACCCAACTACCAGCTAAAACCACCCCCACCTTTGTCAAAATACGAAAGAAATAAAATACACTGACCATAAGGGGGGGGGGAAGGGGGGAAAGAGAGGGGGATGCGTGTGCTCACACATGTGCGTGTGTATAAATATCGTTTAGAATTGGGATCTTGGAAGGAAGTCATAGTTGAAAGGTGACTCATGTACCCTACGCATTATTCCGGGAAAGTAGTACAGAAAAAGTGAGACTATAACATACCATAGCAATGGAAAATCTCTTGCCCTTTTGGAATTGGCTGTGAAGCTCTGACTGTGACAGCTGTCCCACTGAACATCACACTAGTGGTGGGGTTGCAGGAATGGTTAAGGAGGCTGAGCACAGGAAAGAAGGCTGTGGCCAGACGTACTTGCTCCCTGTTTACTACAGTGCCATCTCCACACCCTAGACACACAAACACAAAAGGGGGCAAACAGATCAGGGAGCGCAACAAAAGTAAATTTACAGTGCTTTTATGCCAGTTACTATGCTTAGCCTTAAAGAGTTGATAGTAAAGAAGACATTTCATCACCTTAATATAACAAAAAACTGTTCAACTAAATTTGGCAGTTCCTACCCTCACAGTCCAACAATGCAGCATTTACCTTCAACAGTCAGCTCCCTATTTAAATTCAAAGATGAATCAGAGATTTCCTAAACTTCATCCTTCTGGACACAGCTGTAAACATCTTGTTTTGGTTGCTACTGGCCATGTATCAAGACATGCATTTATTTATTTTTAAAGAAGCAGATGCTTAGCCTCCACATCCAGGCGAGGAGCAGTCTCCAAGCCCTACATTGTGCAAGGCCTAGAGATGTGAAACAGACCTTTCCCTGTGAAAGTGACCGCAGGGCTTTAAGGAAATGGGACACTTAGCCAAAGGTAATGGGAACTCTTTAAAGGACCTGCATTCCTCCCACAGGACAGTCAAACAGCGACAGGAGGGGAGAAGAGCCTAAGGCTTCTCACCAACCTGACTCCTGGATTCCAGTCACGGCTTGTGCATTACACTGTAGCTGTAACATATGCCTCAGTTTCTCACCAACCTGACTCCTGGATTCCAGTCATGGCTTGTGCATTACATTGTAGCTGTAACATATGCCTCAGCATTGCCTCTCCCAGAATCTCCAGCTCAGCGGACACCGTCTCACACGCTTCCCCCTTGCGCTGGCTCTCAGGTGAGCCCTGCCTGAGGAAGGTGGCCTCCAGACCGGCTTCTTGCAGTTGCTTGCACAGCGCTACCACGCTCAGGCAGCAAAGAAATTTGTGTTCAGGGCTGTGCTTTTCAGCATGTGGCAGAAGATGGAAGACAGCTTGGTAAGAACTCTGGTACTGCCCACGGCCATCACACCCAGGAATCGGGGACTCCCCTTTCTCACACGGTCCCTCCGTACCAGATCTGGAGTTTGGCGTCTCATCAGCATATTTCCTGCTGGTCTCGGCGGTCTGAAATTCCTGGTCGTTTCCATAAGCCTGCTTCACCAGCCTGCTAACCTCTGCAAATCCAGCCACCAGAACCGTCCTTAGGGCAACGTGGCAGAAGACCCCCAGCGCGAGCAGCAGCGCCCCCAGGGCGCACTCTGTCCGGTGGTAGCGCTCCCATGCCAGCCGCGCACACTCCTGGCTGCAGTACTTTGCGTAGCTACAGCCTCTGCAGGGCACGGAGGCCAAGAGCTGCTTTAAGCAGCGGTGACAGTAAAGGTCCTCGTTAGCGATACTGGTATCCCACGTGGTTTCAACACCATCCAGCGGCAGCAGTTGCTCCCCTGGGTTGAGCACGCTTACAAAGGCCTCCTCGCTCAACAGGCTCTCTCCCGGCAGGATACCCCGGGCAGCCACCAAGTGACGCCCCCTGGAAGCATCGAAGCTCAAGCTCACGGAGGAAGATGCGCCCGGGAGGTTGCTATTCTCTTCCCGGGGCTCCCGGCCTTCCCGAGCCCCGTCGAGCGCCGCAGACACCGGCGCCGGGTCGCCCTCCCGCTTGCGGGCTTTCGCTTGGAGCTCAGGCTCTCTCCCGGCAGGATACCCCGGGCAGCCACCAAGTGACGCCCCCTGGAAGCATCGAAGCTCAAGCTCACGGAGGAAGATGCGCCCGGGAGGTTGCTATTCTCTTCCCGGGGCTCCCGGCCTTCCCGAGCCCCGTCGAGCGCCGCAGACACCGGCGCCGGGTCGCCCTCCCGCTTGCGGGCTTTCGCTTGGAGCTGCTCGATCTGGCTCAGCAGGGCGCGGCGCGCGGCGCCCGTCAGACCCGCGTCCCCGGCGAGCCGACTCTCTGCCACGCCGAGGGCCTGCGCCGCGTCCCGCGACCGCCCCAGCAGCAGCAAGACACGCGCTT